TTAGAGAGAGAGAAAGAGAACCGAGAGTGCACAAAAAGAGAGTTTGAGGATAGAGAGATACAGAAAGAGAAGGCAAAGAGTGAGCCGAGAGTTTGAGAAAACAGTGTGAGAGTTTGAGGACAGCCAACGATGAGCCAAGATTTCAGAAAGGGCTGGAGCTTGAGGCTTTGATGATCTAGTGAGAAAAAATCTTTTTCAAGGTAGGGGTGTTCTAATCCATGACTTCTTGGATTTTTATGAATTTTCCTCTTTAATTTGACCATAAACATGCTTAATTTTAATTATCTTGTCTATTGCTATTGTGGTTGTATGTACTCAAAATGACAAATGTGTTTTACATGCTAATTGGGTTATATACATGGCTATTTACATTATTGCCAAGAAGCATGCTTAATTTTGGTATATTGTGGGAATTGTGAATTCTCAATTGTTATGGAAATTGATGTTGTGGTTATGAAATAATTGTTTGGAATTTTCTATCAAATATATATATATATATATATATATATATATATTATAATAATAATAAAATGATGATGATGTAGAATAGCATGTAGAATTTTATTGTTGAATTGTGCTTAAAAGCATAAAACATTCATGCATCCATTGGGAATAAAAGAGAAAGGGAAAAGTATTTTTATAAAACAAATGAAATTGTTTTTATTTGAATTTTTTTTGAAATGTGTTTGCGAAAACCTGATGCCTAGGAGGCGCTTAGTGGTCCGTGGTGTTAGTGTAGTCTAGAAGGGAGTATGGTTGAGTTAACTAGGCCGGATGCGAGGCCTTGGAGGTGCTTTGTGGTCGTGGATAGTTAGTCAATCCTCCCTTCGTGATGCCTTGGAGGTGCCTTGGGTCATATTACACTAACGAATTGGAAGTTGAAACGGAGATGTTTTGGATAAGGGGAGCGACATGGGCATGGCATTGCACTTCATTGCCATACATGGTATACTTGTGACTTTGATGACAATTGTGGTTATATTTGACGTTGTGGTTATAAATTGTATCCCTGGTATAGTATGATTCTGTTATCTTGATTTCTATTCTATATGTGGATTCACGGAGTCATAAGAGGTATGTCTTAGACACTTCCTACTGAGCGGTTGGCTCACCCCATTTTATTTTTAACATTTTCCAAGATACGGAAGGGAAGTAGCAGACGACGCTCCTCCATAGTTTTTGACAGGTTAGTGGACTGTTTTGACATATTTTATAGCTCTGATCCCATTATTATTATTATTATTATTATTATTATGTATCGATATAGGAAAGGATGGTAGTGCCCTTAGTTGACCTCGAGTTCGGATAAGGACCCGGTTAGTGATTCGGAACCTCGGGTTCGGGTCGTTACATTTCTGTTGCAAAATGGGGCAGTTTTGCGGTTGCCCTTTTTGTTTTTTTTTCTCAAACGATTCTGAACAATGGCTGAACAGTGCCTTAAGGCACTGTTTGGCAGATTTTTTTTTTTTTGAAAAAACCTAAAAATAGGTTATTTTGAGCTCTTTTTTTTTTTTTTTTTTTAAAAAAATTCATTAAAAAAAAAATATATTGTTTAGGCACTGTTTGTCCAAAAAAAAAAATTATTTGGGCCAAAAATAAATTTAAAAACCTTTTTTTTTTTCTCTTAAAATTTGTTTTTATTTATTTATTTATTTTTGCTTTAAATTTTAAACGTGTACCACAAATAATGCATTTAGCTATTAAGACACTGTTTGGCTGACACAAATATTGTCTTAACGGCTATAATTTTTTTTAAAAAAAAGTATAATTTTTTTTTAACTTAAAAAAAAAATAATTAAAATTACAAATTGATCTACTTATTCCCATAGGATTTTGTAATCCTTATTTAGGAAAAGTTAAAAAAAAAAAAAAATTTATTTTAATTTTAAAATGTTTTTTTTTTTTTTTTTTTGTTGAAGAGCGAAAATCCGGAGAGCATGATAGAGTGCATGTTTCTGAAGAGCGAAAGTTGCTGACGTGACTCTTGGAAAAGCTGAAGTGACATTTTTAGAGAGCCAAAATTCGGAGAAATTGGTGCAGATGGCCTAATTATAATTGACCTTGTGGGCTAATTAATATAAATATACACACACTCATGTAAGAGCATCTCCAATGGGCTCTCAAAATTTAGGCTTTTCGAATTTGCCACATCAGCATTTTTCAATATCCATGTCAGTATTTCCCATAGCCACGTCAGCGTTTTAGAATTTCCAAATTTTAGCTATCGGATGTATTCCAACGGTGCATTTTCGCTCTCCAAAAATATTAATATTTTAATATTTTTTAAATTTTTAATAAATTTTATTTTTTAACTATTTTCTAACGGCTATATTTTTAAAACGACTATATTATACAAAAAATTTAAACAATACAATATTTATTATTAAAAACAATACGGTACGATATAAATTTAAACAATACAAATTTAAACAATACAATAAAAATAAAAAACAATACAATACAACATGAATTAAAAACATAACAACTAGGAAAAACTGAACAATCATACGGAATGCTTGAGATAATCCTATGGAAAGCTTGAGTTACACCGTGCGCATATAGATGTTAATATTTCATTTTGGCGTTCAATTAGCCATGCTTTCTCGGCTTGTGTTGACATCGATTCTGGATCTTTTTGCATGATTAACATTTCTTCAGCTTTTTGTTTGTTTTCAATCTCTCTTAGTTTGCTTTGAAACTCGAGTTGTCAGTCTTTTCAAAGATAATGTGAATTTGATAAATGGTTGTTGCATGATTAAATTTGTTAATGAAATCATTATGACTTTCAGATTGTTATTTATCCTTATTTCGCCTCTGCTTCGCTACTTTTCGTCCTTTTGGTCGTTGACATTCTTCAACATCCGTCAGATCATTTTAGCCTATGTGCGCTGATCCTTCAACTGAACTTGGTGTTGCTGCTGCATTACTTGATGGAGTAGATGGGTTTGAGTGACCAATAGGCTCACTTTCATCAATGTGGATTCCACTCCCTTTCTTCGGTTGTTTTTTTTTTTTTGGATGTCAAGTCTTTTTGACAATGCAAATGCCATTTATTGTTGCTCTTCAAAATATTCCAACAACTTTCAAACTTAAATTTGGTGTTATTTTGACGAGCGAACAACTCTTTGGCTGCTATCATCTAAAAAACATAAAAATAAATAATTATTAGAAGACAAATCTTTAAAATATCTACTAATTAAATTTAATATAATAAATAACTTACCTTGTACTCATTGTCTTGCCCACTAGGGTAATTCCTTTCGATTTGGGTCATGCATCCAGAAAATTTAATAATCATTTGTTGCATGAAGGACCGACGATTCAAGTAAGCGATATGATTTCTTTTAGGTGTACCAGCACCACTAATGTGTTGCTCAAAACTTTCTTGAATTCGGATCCATAACGCTACCTTTTGTTGGTTTAAACCGATGACCGCATCAATGCTAATGGTCATCCACGCATAACATAAAGCCTTATCTTCAACCGTGGACCAATTTGGAGGCCGAATAGCCCTTTGCTTTCTGGGAGGTTGGTAGTTATTGGATTATGGCACTTCAGTAGAAATATTGAAAACTTGAGAAGGTTGATGAGACGGAAATTGAGATTCTTTTCCAACAAATTGAGATTTTTCTCCAACAAATAAGAAGGGATCAAAATTATCATTTGATTGGTTGAATTGGGAGTTGTAGTTGTAATATGGTGGTGGAGGATCCATGAAATTGAACTTAAGTAAAAAAATATAACTAAAAGATTGAGAAAATGACTTAATGGTTGTAATTGTAGGTTAAAGATTAGAGAAGATGGGTTGGATATGAGGTGAATAATAGTAGGGGTTGATGTATTTATAGTGAAAAAATGAAAGGTTTTTGTTTTTTTTTTTTTTTTTTTTAAATAAATAAATATACATATATATAATTAAATTTTTAAAAAATAAATTCAAAAAATAAGTTTTTGTGCCAATATAGCCGTTAAGGCACTGTTTGGCTGATCCAAACAGTGCCTTAACGGCTATATGTCAGAAGGAATATTTTAAAAAATAAATTTTTCAAAAAAAAAGCACTTTTCTCTATTTTTTTTAAACTTTTTTTTTTTTTTTTTTTTTTGCCCAAAAAGGCTTTAAAGACACTGTTTGTTTAACAGTGTCTTAATGACTCTTTGGTTCAATTATTTTGAGAAAAAAAAAGAGTCCAAAGCAAGCTAAAAATCTTTGTTTTTTTTTTTTATTATTATTTTTTTTTCAAGCAACCAGAGCCATAGGAATAGTGTTTTGGGCTAAAACACTATTTTGCCTGGAATAAAAAATTTAAAACAAAACTAATACGGGCCCGCAGCTCACCAAGAGAGTCACTCTTTTCCACGACCCATTAAGTGGGGCCCAATTTTTGGAGAGGCCATTAGAGGAGTCCAATAGCGAAATTGGCCCAGAATCGCCTTACATAGCTCACGTTGGAGTTGCTCTAAATATTCATTATCTATATGAACTACTAATTATAATTGATCTCCTGCATGTAAACTAACAACCAGGTACCCCATATGTTATAATTACATAAAATTACAAAATCTTCCCTGCTGAAAGCCTCAAGTCAAGATGTATATTCCTAACATTCACAAATGAAAAATTAATATAGTTATGTTTAATTCAGTAATTTGTCACAGATTTTCAACACACACACACACACACACACATATATATATATATATATATATATATAATATAATATAATATAAGAAAATCTGTAAAAGTGAACTGAACACATCATTGGCATTTTAGCTCCATATTTGCATGGCTCACCAAACTACTCCATCTTTGCATGATTCACCAATTGAAATCTTTCGTAACTGAAATCTTTATATATAAGTGCATATATAATGTGCACTTTTCTTTGTCATATGATGTATCTCCACTGCACCATATCTAATGCAAGACTTTTATTTCATTCATTCATTTCAGTTCAATTGTTTGTAGAGAAAATTTTATAAATAAATATAAATATATATATATATATATATATATATAGGGAGAGATGTCAAAATAAAGTTGTGGGTGTGGAGTGCTTGAGGAGGAAATTATGCCATGGTTGGTCTGCTTCTCACCTTCTACAAACGCATGGAGATCAACATTTCTCCAATAGGTATGGAGTGCTTGAGGAGGAAATTATGGGTTTATGAGAAGGTGCCCTGTGGGGGCTCCGGCAAACGTGGCTATCGCCATCACAAGGCTCAGGAGCAAGGCAGCGTTCCCCCGGAAGCTCAGAGACGATGAGTTCAAGCACGTACATACTGGGATCTTGACGAGTTTGGACACATGCTGGCGGGATCTTGAAGGAGAACATCGTCAATGGCAACAAGGGGCTCAAACTCTGCAAAATCACAACACACAACTCCGAATTCTCATACCCATTTCTAATGACATTTACACAATCACCCAATTCTTAGACCTGTAAAGTGGAAGAAATAGTAGCCATTTCGAATTCTCATACCCATTTCTAATGACATGTCTTCTTTAAGGAATCTGTTGGTGAAAATTATGGCTGATTGAATGCAATTGCTTGATTTTTATTATTTTTATTATTATTTTTTAATCAATTCTTTGATTAAACTGTCTCTAGCCTATATGGTCTTCCGTGATCCGATTTGGGTCTGGTGAGGTGAGAAGAAATTAGAGAGAGAATCTGGGAGGGAGAAAAATTTACATCCCATCCAAATACCATTGGCATGTTGAGACTTCTCAAAAACTCAATGTCTCGGGAGTATACATTAGGTATGCCAAATTTTGTTTTAACCATTCACAACAATACCACAATCAATTTTCACATTTTAAAGAAATTTTCTAGGTTCCAATATAAAAGACAAAAATTAATAGAACTTAAAAAAAATATAAAAAATCTTTGCAATGTCAAGCCTACGACAATAGACATTTTCTTCCAATACTTCCCAGCTAATTCAATTCTGAAGTAAATTATATTCCCGTTATATTTAAAGCAGAAAACAATTGCTTATCTACAATCTGAAAGTAAATTGATGTCCAGATAATAAATGCAAGATAAAGTGGAAAGCTACCATTCATCACTGAAAGGAAGTAAATAAGTCCAGAAATGCAAAGAATAGTAATCCTAATTGAGCATAAACTAAAGGGAACTATAGCAAATGTGGGGACAGAACCAACAGGCCAGTGGCCTAGCGGTACCAAGCCCCTACTTCTCAAAGAGAGGTCAGGGGTTCGAGCCTCCGTAGAGGCATGCGTGTGTGAGTACCCAACTAGGAAAAAAAAAGCAAATGTAGGGACAAAAAATGTTTCTCAATAAGTTCCTCACGCTGCAACACTCTGCGGCAACCAACTCTCATTATAAAATACAAAACTGAAACTCATTTACCTATTTTCAGTTGAAGCCAAGCGATCAAGCAAGTCGTTTAATTCCTTGATTGTTAGTCCACCAGAAGTCATCCCCCTTCTAGCTGCGTTGCAGCACCTGGCCGGTGCACAAATAAAAGAAAATGAAGTATCGCAAAGGCATCATGGCTTGGTGCATTGATAAATGTTTGAATTGTAAAGTGGAAGAAAGAGTAGCCACTTTGTGCAAATAATGTCAAATGTTAAGTTTATATCCGGTATATCCCTCTCAACACCTTTGATTAGACCACCACTAGGTGTCATTCATGCGTAAAGCAACAATATTGTTCAATGATGTCTATATTTTAAACTTGATATCAGATCATGTCATCCAACTTAAAGCCCACCAGGTGAATGTTTGTAACATACCACAAGCCATTTCATGCATGTTGTTCTATGTATAGTTCCCATACTCCATAGAACAACATTCCAAAAAACAGTAGGACTTTAATCCCTCAAACTCCAAAGTCCAAACTGGCCCTCAAGAGCTCTTCTATAAAGCGAGCATGTCTCATTCAGTAACCCATAACACGATCATAAAGCTTTTGTAATAAAAATTAGCATAAAAGCCTGATTAGGGATGATAACTATATCCTTAAACTTGCTCGTTAACAAAAGCACATGAGTTTCACTAATTAGCCACCTTTTTACGATAAATCGATAAATTAAAATGATGTAGACAGGTATTCGGGCCTCTTCAAATCAAGATAAACCATTATTCCCGTCCAATTTGATTTTAAGATGCCTATAAAAAAACTTAATATGCACCAAACACCAATATGGGTAGGATATGACATATTAAGAAGCTCATAAAGGCTCAAAGAAGATTATGGCTGAAGCAAATCTTTTTCTTTTTCTTTTTTTTTTTTTTAAAACATTTTTGTGACTGTTCTTGGGATTGGGGAGTGTGTTAATGAAGTAATTGAACATCACACCAAAAAAAATTATTTGATGCATGGTTCAAATCTTAGTAGAGGAACATGGTTTTATCTGGTTCATGAACAGGAGGGCAAAACGAAAAAATTGAACACCAATGCCGAGCAGTCGGAGAGAGAAATAAACATCAGTGCCCAGTAGTGGGATGAGGCGCAAAACATGCAGATAGATGTATAAAATTTCATTATCTTCTACACAATCGATGGAGAAGCCATCATCAAAATGCGGCTCAACTATTCCATACCATACTGCTTCCTTGTGTGTATATATATACTCATAAATGATATTTGACAGATGGTAACTGTTATTCTTGGATGCATGCTTGGAGATAAAAATTATTGGAGAGGATCCAGTTCAATTTGTAATTTTAGTCTCCAAGCATCTCCAAAGATGCATCCAAGGGTTAAAAATATGCCACACCATCATTTATTTATTTTATTTTATTTAATTTTTAGAAATTAAATTCTGGATGAAAGTACATCATGTGCTTAATTGAAATCAGATTTTTTTGAAAACCTGAAATTACCCTTTGGAATGACAAAAAATCCCCTCCCAATTTCCTACATATTTTAACACAAAATGCCTTGTTTGGATGGGATGTAAATTCATTAAAGAGGTAGCAAAAAATTAAGTATGACATACAGTTTCTACAGCACGACTTGAATACGAGATTAAAGAAGGATGAAGCCATGTAAACTAAAAACGAAACCCAGCAATAATGAGATCATGCCCCATAGGAAAAAAAGATTATCATCAATATTTTTAATCAAATATTGCACAAAATGAACCAGATCAGCTAACCAAGAGTCACATACTTATTCAATAATCATTAAATGTATGCACGCAAATATGAATGTACTGTATGTATGAGTGTGAATAGTTTGCTTGAAAAGTATGTGGACAAAAAATTGCTCATTAACAATCAGGTACCTCACAGTTTGCATCACAATAAAGACATCAAGAGTTGTACCATCCCTTTTAAGCATCTCCAATAGTGTTTGCATTGCGTATCCCCTATCATACTGAACAAAATCAGAAGTAACACGGAATTGGTGGCAAAGAACTATTAAATGATATCAATTAATTACATGATTGTTCACATTATGACTGACTAAACTTGAAAAATGTGGGCAGAATATAATTTATTTATTTGTTTTTGGATAAGTAGGCATAATATTAAATTTATACCTAAGGAAGTTCCATTTACATTATCAAAGGTTCAAAACAAGAACATTTCGCACCCTCAAAAATTTATTAGATGTGGTTCCTCACATCCAATTGTTTCACGAATATATAGTGCTATTTTGAGAAAGGTACAGCAGCAATGATCATTGCAGAGTTTCCTTTTAAGGACAACAATTAGTTTGCTCAAAGGAATTAGGAAGCTCATCCTAGCTAAAGTCAACTAGGCATAAAATAAGGAGTTCAAAGTAAGATGGACTATAGTTTTTTCCACCCATATCTGATCAAACTGAGTCATGCAGAATAGATGGCTACCTTTAGTTTGTCACAACAATTTAGTCTCAAGTTGATTGTGTTCCTTTACTAGGCCAGACCCCATGTTGGGAGCGCCTACTCCTATGTCAGGTGCTATAATGCCCCAAGTCATAATTTCTTAGTTTTGCATATGCTTCCATGTAAACAAAACAGAAAAAGTAAAGATCAAAACAGGGTATGCAGGAGAAACGCAAAAAGGAATCAGTAAATTATTGCTATAGCTTGCTGATGTTGGGGTTATCAATCAATCTTGACACATGGTAACAGTAAAATCACTAAAGAGGGGGTGCACCCATTTATACAACTTTTTTCTTGTAAATGCATGTGAATGTCACTGTTCAACTCAATAGGAAAAAAAAAAAATGCTCTTTACTAAACAAATAATTTGACACCTAAAAAAAAAATAAAAATCATGCTAACAGTGCTAATAAAGTAAATAGGTAACTTGCCCTGTTAACCATATAAATTAAGCTTAATCTCATAACAGAATCACTATATAATAGAAATTTTTTCTTGTAGGAGCAGAAAATATTCATTGTCACATTGATGGCAAGCAGAATTTTATATGAATTCTCATTTGAAAAGCATAAAATTAAATATTTGAGATGATACCTCTACATTCCAAAAGTCAGCACATGCATGAATTGCAACGTGATACACTGTTAACTCTTTACTCAAGAACCCGCCATGCTTTGTCTCTCGATGCTTCAACTGATGACCACCCCTTGGACCTGCTCAACAAGCTCGGTTATCTTTTTCAGGAAAAAGTAAATCAGAAATAATTTAGAAACTTACAGAATAAAAATTTAACAAAAACATCTTTTTTTTTTTTTTTTTTTTTTTTTTTTTTTTTTTTTTTTTTTTTCTATTTGGTACTCACACACACATGTCTCTTTCGAGACTTGAGCCCCTCGGGAGGTGAGGGGCTGATACTCCTAGGCCATTGGCCCGTTGGTTTAACATGTAAATACTTGAAACTTACTTTGTTCGCCGAATCATCAGTAATAGGTGTCTTAATCTTATGTGCAATTATATGCCCCGCGTAGCAGAACTAGTTTAAACCAAGACCAGCAGCAGTCATATCATGAACATTAGCATACCTAAATGTTGAAGGGAGGTTATTTTATTAAATAATCTATTTTAGTATAATAATGAACATAGACAAGTTAAAAGTCAAACTATAGAACGAGATTAAGAAGTTATACAAAGCAACCTATAAAATAAATAAGTAATGCTTCACTTCACAGTCACAAGACTTGCTAAAGCAGGTAATTAAAAAAAAAATGAGTAACTTACAGACCCAGCTGTGTGACATTAATTGAAGATATATATATGATCAATTTAAAACAACAGTAATGATTAAAGAATGGATTATTTTATCGGTGCACTAGACTACATTTGAGATCAAGAGTTTGGATTTCTTTCCCACATTAGAGGTAAAATTTAGATAATCGACTCTCTTGAATTGCAGGGAGCATGCTTTTACAAAGGAATGGGAGATTCATAATCACCAAAACTTGGATTTTCATTCCTCTCATTTTTCTCCTTTTTTCTCTTTTTTGGGTTGGGATAAATGTTAAGAACAATTACCATGAAAAACTAGCTCATGTCACACCTAATTAAATATGATTCTGCTCCCAAAATGCAATTTTATATTTAAACAAAACTAACCTGAAATTAGTAAGACCATTACACATGCATTTCTAGTATTTAATAATAACGTGAAGGGAAAGACCAAAATTAATATGAGCAGACATAGTAAAGAAACAAATGCTAGTTTAGTCACACAAAAATTAGGACCTTAGACAAAAGTAGGATCGTGTTTCCAAATCATACGCATCCCTCTATAAATAATGCCTGCAAAAGTCACAGAAGCATATATATATATATACACAATTACACACACTTGTAGATTAATATGAATTTATACACACACACATATACATACACACAATGTAGATGAATATCAATTTATACATATACACACATATATATGAGTAGTATTGAGAAAATGGAGAAACATTTGAAGTGAGGGAGGTAATGATGGTGTTGTACTCTGAATCATTGTTAGCGTAATTTTTCTGTTGAAGCGGTGAAGTATCGACGTCCTTGGGCTCGAACCAGTGATCGGTAGTGTAAGAGTGAGAAATAAAAAAGGGAAAACAAGATCACATTGTGATGATAGAGGGAGGGTTTGTTTGGAGAGAGAAAGCACACACTCGTTCTCTCTCTAGATGCCATACCTAGGGGTGCACAAAAGAATCGGAACCGTGAGAACCAGAACCGTTTTTACCGGTTCTAGTTCCGGTTTCGGTTCCTAATTTAGGAACCGTGAACATACGGTTCCGGTTTCGGTTCCAGCTCGTGGGAACTGGTAAGAACCGGAAACGTATATATATATATATATATATATATATATATATATATATATATTATATGTATTATATATTTAATTTTATACATATCAATAGTCTAAAGTTACTAAATGCATCAAAAGTAAAGTCACTAAGTCCATTGTGAATGAATGATGCAGAGGCAGCCACGTGGTCCACACTAAACCACATGGTCATCATTTGACAATTTCTATCAGTCATCAATTTCACTCATTCAGAATTTCAGATTCCTAACCTAAGTCTCGTAGCCGCCGTACCCCATCTCAAAGGCTCAAAGCTTCTCATCGCCCCCTCGTCTCAACTCTCAAGGCTTCCTCATCAGTCATCGCCCTCCCCCATCTCAAAGAATCAGAAGTTCAAAACCCATATATTTAAGATCTGTCTGCAAGAATCAATTCAAAGTTCAAAATCCATATCGGCATATCATTCCAGATTGTTCAAAAAATCAAAACCCATATCTTTCAGTTTCCATCGCCCACTGTTCCAATTCAGGTTCGCAAGCTTCAGCTGCTCTTTCTCAACTCCAAGCTTGCCCCTCTCTCTCTGCAACTTCTAAACTTGCCCTCACTCTCTCTGCAACTGTAAATAACGGTTCTCATGGAACGGAACCGGAACCGAACTGGTTCTACGGTTCGGTTCCAGTTTGGTTCCATACTATACGGTTCCAGTTCCGGTTCCGTTTTCAAGGAACCGTCATGAGCGGTTCTGGTTCCGGTTCCGGTTCCGACAGGAACCGTGAGAACCGGAACTGTGTGCACCCCTAGCCATACCAGATATGGCCTAAAGGAGCTTCATTGTTGATTGATTTATGGGGGAGGAAGATAGTTGGAATCGAACCTTTCGACATGAATGGTCTTCATTTCAGTTCTTTGGACTACCCATAAATTCTAGGATTGAGAAATTATTAGATAATCTTGATTTTTTTGACACGAATTTAACGAAAATTATCCGATTATGAAATAATTTATTAACACATTATTTTTTTAATTGGAGAGAATATATTTAATTAGTTCACCAAGTATTAATGATCTAGGATCATTTAATAATTTTTAAGATTTAAAATATGAGAAGATGGACACTTGGCTTGCGTAAGGAGAAGGGGTTTGAAAACTTTGTGCACCCTTAGTTGGGATCATATATGTCAAATTTTTAGGATAATTTTTTTTATTTTTTATTTATCCAATTTCTACATAATTCTATATCAGGTTTTTGGCTTGATAATTTTAAATGTCTTGTTGATAATTGGTTGAACAAAAGGTAAAAAATTAGTAATAGAATATATAAATTTATTGAATTAAAATATTCAATTGAAAATTTCACTATTCTTAATTAGGATTGATGTTGTGATATTTATTATTGTAGTTACATTACTTTTTAGGAATAATTACGAAGTACAGAGTAAAATTTCGTACAAATTCAAGTTTTGAATTCATGGTTTGACAATATGCATTTTGAAGTTGTTTCTACAAGTTATGTAAGATGGTGTGTGTCGTCGCATGTGCACCAAAGTTGCAATAAAAGTGTGGCCAAGTTTAAATTTATAAAGTGCCACTACTACCTCTAACTACTAATATAGTTAGAGCGAGTAGGGATCATCCAAAGGGATTCAGGGCTATGTTAATATGGAAACAGGGTCGGATTAGTAGGTCAAGTCATCAAAAGGTTGTTTGTTGGTTAATTAAACTATAATATAAATAAATTCAATACTAAACAACTAAAGTAAATAACAGGGTAGAGAACAAGAGAGAGAGGTCTTGGAATCTAGAGGTCACTACTAAACATCACCATTCTAGACATTCAATGTGTAATGAATGAAGGGAAACATGTGTTGTAATACAAAGAGGCGTGATTGATTGAATCAATAAGCATGAATTGACTAATTAAGCATATAATGTCTAGATAACCTAGTGAATAGCACAATATATCAAACAGAGCCATTATTCCTTCCTTTAAGCTCACAATCAACATACTAACAAGTTAGAGAATAATACTACTTGCATTCATAAGTATGGAACATCAAACAACAAGCATGGATTGTCCTCACATCTAAGAAAGTAAAGCAACTACACTACTTCTAAGTTAAGGACATGAAAATTAAACTAATTAAACTAAGGTAGAGGCATAATCCATCAAGAAATGAGTATAAACCATCACACAAACCACAAGAGTATACTATTTAAGCACTACGCCTTGACAATCTCTAGATTCATAGCATCAATATACATAGACATGCATCAATATCACAAAACTAAGAGATAAACACATGAACATCTACTCTAACATACATAGACATATGGATAGAATGAAATGATCAATTTGAAGTATTAATCAACATAAATCATTGTAAGAACAAGATTCATATAAAAATCAAGTGTCAAGACAAGATTACAACACAAATCCCCTCAAAATATAAAGCATTAAGGTCTAGAAGGCATGCTTAGGGCTACCTCTAGCCCCAAGAAGATGTTTAGCCACTCATTGATATAGTCATCCAACCCTCAAGGGCCATCTCCATGGTAGAAATGCTCTTTTTCTTGATGGAAACCTTAGAAGAATGGAAGAACTCCCAAAATAGTGTATGTCTCTCTAAGCTCTAGCCTCCTCTCCAAGATATGTGATATATGATTCTAAGTTATGTTGAGATATGTAAGTTATGAGATATCATGTAAAAATGGCTCAAAATCCTTATATAGGAAGCTCAAGTGTCACACCTAATGGTCAGGTCTTGTGCACTAGGGTCCCTTCAATGATTGCACCATGAGCCATCTTTTAATGAGCTGGGCTCTGTTTTATTCCGGACTTGAGGAGGTTCAATTGATCGAATTCAGATGAGATTGATTGAACTGTGGCCAGATCCATTGAATTAAGGCCAGATCGATTAATCCATGGCGGCGCCTTTTTGGAATTAGATAAATCTGAGATATTTTTAGAATATTTTGGGAAAAAGACAAAAGTGGTAGGTGGGGATAAGATCAAGGAAGTTCGATCGATTTGAAGAAAGTTGGATCGATCAAAGATGGAATTTCTTTGAGGATAAGGATAAGGGGTTTGATCCATCTTGGTGAGGTGAGATCGATTAATGTGAGATCGATCGAAAATATTCCTGATCAATCGAAGATTGCCGATTTCCACCACTTTACTTCCACTTTGCTCCATTCTTCCATTCAGCTTGAGATTGCATCTTTTATGCTCTAATTTGGCTGAATTGACTTATTTTGGGAATAAGCACCTGAAAAGGGCAATAACATGAAATTAGTTTAAAACGGGAATGTAAGATAGATAAAGGTCCTAGAATACTCGAACTTAAGGGGTTTAAATGCGCACTTTTCAGTGCTCTTCACACCCCCAAACTTAAATATTGCTAGTCCCTAGCAATGAACTACAAAGTAAAGGAATGAAATGAACAACTATACAAATATGAGCTAGAAAGCAATAAATGGATAACGCCACTTTCGTAGGGATCATGATTGCATTTAGTATATGCAACAAGCCTTTTAAACCCCTAGGTTACCCCTAGTGGATGAGTGAAGCTCGTGAGGGTTTCTAGAAATGATACCCATAAACATTAAAGCTCATTCTCACAAAAGAGGCACTAATATTGCAAACAAGCATTGGGAGAAAACTACCTCAAGTATGCAATTTTTCAACCATTTCCATGCAATCTCCCAAAATCTCAACATCTAACAAGCAATATGGTCCTCTACACATCAAGAAAATGATCATGCAAATCAAAACAACTCTAGAATCCTTTTTGAGTGGACCGGCATCAAGTATGTTGCTATCTAAACCAACAAAAGAAATGATCACATCCTTACCTTCAAATTAGCACACAAATCTAGTACCGATCATCAAGACAAAGAGTGGACCTTTTATTAAAAGCTTTATTGATCTGGGTGCGCTTATTCTTTTCACACTTTTTTAATTTTATTTTATTTATTTATTATTATTATTATTATTATTATTATTATTATTATTATTATTATTATTATTTTTTGTAACATTCAATTATTAACCTAGAGTTTGGGCCCTCCACCTTTCGGCGTGAGAAATTTAGTGCTTGATGAGGCTAGAATCCCGGCTACTCGGTTGTTATCCACCTTTATCAAGAATGAAAGCTTTCAATGCACTACTAGCCTAATTGGGATATAACCAATTCAATAGTCAACAAAGCATGTAACCCACAAATAAATGCTAGTGTGCGCCTGTGCTAGTGTAGAATCCTAGAGTGAATCTCAAAACAATCCCAAAATCATGATGATGTGGACCACAAATGCAAGCAAGATATCAATCTTTCAAAAAATTTACTCTTAAATGTCATCCACAAGGCATACAAGGAGTATTGTTCTCTCAAGTTAAGTAATTTTTAAAATTTAAGCAATATAGTCTTCAAAAGATCAAATTCATAGCTAGTCATGGACCAATCATAGAAAATCCCTCAAAGACATAAGTCATGCTCAAAATTTTAAATTGAGAGCAAACACTATTAACACTCATTACCCCCAAACTTAAACGGCACAGTGTTTTCAATGTGCAAAGTGAACAAAGGAAAGAGTATACCAGTGCATCTAAGGCAAAGAATGACCGGGACACAAGTATCCAAAGTGGGTGGTACAACCCCCCTAAACTTGGAATTGACTATGGTCTAGAAAAGATGGCACTGGGAGAAAAGTTGATCAGATAACAAAAGGGATAATAACAGTGCACAGTTGACATACAAGTGTAAATGGGATATGAAATGAGGTAAAGAGATAGAGAGGAATAAGAATGGTCTTGAAATTTTGGGCAGCACTCTCTCACTGAAG